GGCTCCGGGAGAGTGCGAGTGCGTGCGTGAGTGTGCGCGCGTGTGAAGGCGGAGGTGGCTGAGAAGCGGAGACACTTACTTCTCCCGGGCCTGGCTGTCGGACGGGACGGCGCTGCTGTTACTCTTGCCTTTGCCGTACATGCTTGTGCCGAGAGCAGCTCACACTGTCACGCACCTGTCAACCCATCACAGCCTCCCCGGGAACAGCCCCGTCCCCAGGCGGTGTGGCTGCGGCTCCGGGAGAGTGCGAGTGCGTGCGTGAGTGTGCGCGCGTGTGAAGGCGGAGGTGGCTGAGAAGCGGAGACACTTACTTCTCCCGGGCCTGGCTGTCGGACGGGACGGCGCTGCTGTTACTCTTGCCTTTGCCGTACATGCTTGTGCCGAGAGCAGCTCCCACTGTCACGCACCTGTCAACCCATCACAGCCTCCCCGGGAACAGCCCCGTCCCCATGGCGACCCACGCAGCCACCCCCACTATTGGCCGCCCCACGCTGAAGCACCGCCCCCTTCGCCCCGGCAACGCGCAAGACTGACAGGTCTCCCCCTCCCGCCGGCCTGCCGAGGCGCGCGGTGGCGGCTACGGCCTAAGCGGTAGTCTCCTCCCTCCTTCCCTCTCTTGTCGGCTCCCTCCCTCCCTTCTTCCCTCTCCGCCGCGCTCCCTCCTCCCGCTCTCCTTCCCCCCTCCCCCTCCCAACCCGGGCGCTAGGGGGGAATTAGAAACTGCTCTAGAAGGATTTTAAACAACTGGCTGTTCTCTCCGCCGCCGGCCCGCCCCCCGCGCCGCCCGCGCCCGGCTCCTCACTGGAGAGAAGGCACCGGGAGGAGGGGAAAGTGCGGCCTGGAGTCCCTGGCAGGAGCCGGCGGAGCTGGAGTCGCAGCGGCCCCAGACTTCGGGGCGCCCGCCGAGTCCACAGACAGACCCGAGGCCCCAGGCGTGGGGGTCCTCCTCCAGCCTCCCCTCACGCTCCAAACCGGCCCGAGACCCCGCGCCGGTACCCATGACGGATTTCCTCGCCCTCCGCCCTACTCCTTGGGGTGTCACCCCTGCCCGGCTCCGGGGGCTGAGGTGGGCAGCAGGCAGGGCCGCCCGCTCCGTACCCTCGCCCTTCTGGCTGGGGACCGGGATCGACTTTCCTTCCCTCCCTAGCAGGGCCGTGCGCCTCCCCTCCTGGGCGCCCGCCGGGGTGATGCCGCCGGGCCCGGAACCCAGCCCTGTGCCCCAAGGGAGCACCCTGCCTCCGGTCTGCCTCCTGTCTAAGAAGGGAGTACACCTCCTAAAGAGGCCCGGTGACCGACTCTGGGACCATAGTGGCCCACTACCTTGACCCCTTACTCCCCGGCACCCTACACTAATCTGCAGCAGAAATGGGGCCCAGGCATGCCCTACTCGGCCTCCTTTAATAGTTTGGGTGGGCAATGTCAAGTCAGTCTGACCCCTGGACTGGAAAAGGCCTTTAAAAGCCTTGAAAGACATTCCTGTCCTTGCCCATCAGAACAGGCCATAGAACTCCAAGGTGAGCAGAGCTCTGCCTGAGCTGAAAAACTGCCCGAGAATATTTCTGGATCCAAGTCCCTAATCTCATTTCAGTGAATGCGCAAAAGTTTCTGAGGCACACGCAACCTGGTTTCTAATAGACTCCATCCTTTATTTTGTCAGAGATGCTGGGCTGTAAAATCAGACAGGGTGCAAATCGGGTTGAAAGAAGAGATGAGCTTCAAATGGGAGGTGACTGGAAGAGAGGTGCTGTTGGGATGGGGCCTGGAAACATCAGAAAAGGATGAATAGAGGAGGAATCGCTATGTGAAGGGAGAGGAAATAGCATTCAAATGAGGAAGGCCACCTTTCTAGCACACAGTTTTAAGCATTTAGAAGTAGGATCATAAAAATGCGTATGGAGATACGGAGATAGATGGAATGGAAAGAAATGGAGTTTATGGGCATTGATAGCAGGTGACAGAAATAAAGCAGCAGAAGGTTAAGGAAGGGCAGTTAGTAAAAATGAGAGAAAATCAAGAAGGGTTGGCAACCAAGCATCAATCAAAGACTGGGAGAGGAAATGAAGAAGAAGGACTTCTTATACTGCTGTTAAGAAAAATGAAAGGGAAAGTGAGGAAAGTAAGTTATAAAAAGACAAGAAAGAAGAAACTGGATTAAATGGAGAAACGAACATGACAAAAATAATAGAGGGCAGACATAATAAAAAGAGATATAAGAAAAATAAATGCATTGCTAGTGAAAGGACGATAATTAAGCCATTAAAAGAAGAGAGTTAAAGGGAGGATCACAAGGTGACACTGGCTTAACTAGGCAAATTCCCAGGGGAAATAATTTGCCATTTCCAACACTGAAGGGTCCTTTTTGTTTCCAATGACCCACAACTATTGAGTGGTTGAGATATGGCATGTTTTCCCAGTGTTTCAGATAACACAATTATTTGGTGATTGGGACATTACATTCATGGACAGTGAGGAACTGCAAGCCTCCCTTTCCTGATGAACTTGCTCAAAATGCTCAACTATGTATAAGGTTGCTACCATTTACCTCTAAGGTTAGCCTTACTGAATTTGCTAGCCAATTATTTATTAGCTTTAACCCAGGAGACATCTACCACCTTAAGGTTCCATCACCAGTAGGAAAACTGTATGTAAGGTGTTGCTCATAACACTGTAAACAGCGACCTCTGGCAACTGTTGAACTACTTTCCTGTCCACTGGAGGAAAAGTAGGATTTCCATTAAAAACCAAAAGTGGACTTCGTATTCTGAAAAACAAACAAAAAACAAATTGTTATTCTTACTGTGATTTGGGGATTTTATCTGTGGTTGTCAGTCATGACCCATAAGAATTGCCTTAGGATTTGTGTGTGTTTGGTTGTTTGCAGATTAAACTGAATCAAACCTTGGGTGGATCCCAACCATTTATATATTTTAGCTTCCAAGTGATTCTTGGGCTGCTTTTGCCCTTCACTGTCTAAAGATGGCCCATTAGAGTTTAGGGCAAGACTGTGAGGTTGTGGCAGTATTCTTACAAGGTAATCAAGTGTCTTTATAGTGCACTTAACTACCACCAAGCCAACAAAGTTGTTAATAAGATGAAAATGTATGAGCAAGTGTGTTCTGATGGTACAGGACCACAAGAGCCACAGCTTGACTTAAAGATCTGCTTGGCGGATAAAAACACTGTTCTTGCAGAAGACCCAGGTTCAAATCCCAGCACCCACATGGCAGCCAACAACTGTCCGTAACTCCAGTTCCAGGGGATCCAACAGTCTCCTGTCCTCCACAGGCATTGCACGACATGGGTGCACTTACCTACATGCAGGCAATACATGCATACACATAAAATAATAAAATATTTTTTAAAAGAAAAAAAGTGAAATGAAGAAAGAATATTAGAGGTGCTATTTGCTATCTATTGCTGCAGTTTCCTCATTTGATTAGTTTTTACCCAGATTTATTACATTAAAAAGCCCTATGGGTAATGGCACATTTTCAGGTAGTTAAAAAATATAGATCTGCACAGTAGGATATAGAATTCAGAACAATTTGGTCTTAGTGTCTAGAAAGAATAAAAGCTCTTAGTTCATAACTTGCCACGTTAATGGCAGAGTTACCTTTATAAGAATGTTATCATCCAAGAAATAAACACAGTGACTTTTATATGTATATGTGCCCATATACAGTAACCTTGAGTTTAAGTAATCAATCAATTATCATCAAAACATCTCAGTAGCTACCTGAACCATCACTATGCTATTTTATTCTTAATGTTTTCACATGTAAATAAAATGCTTCTTTGCCCTTGTTCAAATTATTTTGAGTACAAAGAGTGTTCTTTGCATCAGCAACTATACCTCCTGGGACCAATATTTTAATTAATGAGATTTGAAACACATATTCAGAGCCAAATTCAGAGATCTTAGACATAGAATTGAAGCTCTCTTGTCTTGTTTTCATTTTTTTTTAAATAAGGAAGAGATTGGAAATTGAAAGCTTTGTAATGTGAAGAATCATGATATATTTTAAGGATTTTCTTTAAATCTCATAAGAGGTTGCTTTTTTAGGGGGCTAGAGTTTGAATAGGGGAATATTATCTAGCTTAGCCAACCAAAATGGAACTTTTACATTTGAGGTTAATTTTTTAAACTATATTCTTTCAGATATAGAACATCACAATTCATCATTAGGTCCCTATTTGCACACCCTTTTTCTTTGGGCACGTATGCACAATTTTCTCTTTCTGGAAACTGCATCTTATTCTAGGAAGCCTTCATCATTTTAGAACAGGCAACCCTATTCTAACTTTACGTTGATTCTATATTTCTTTGATACTTATGTATTCTCTAAAACACTCAAGTTACTAATGTCTACATTCTTACAGTACACAGACCCACCCCACACACACAAAGAATTTTCCTGTGTTATATAGAACAAAGAGACTACCTCTTTCTGTTTAAATGTAAGCTGATCATGAATTTAATTACTTGCATGTAAAACACTTAGCATGGTAGCTAAAAGAATATTTAAAATTGAAAGTATATATTTAGAAAAATACAAATAAACTATTTAGACAATGAAATTGAATTTTTTGTTTTTGGATAATTTTCCAAAGGACAAAATTTTTCCATTATTTATTTTATGAAACTAATTAGTTTATAAAAACAAGTCAGCTATATTCATATCAGTTTTCATCTCAAAACATTTAATAAATATTCATTAATACTCAATATTTCCCAATAAATTGGGTTTTTATAGCCTACTTTCTGAATTGGGTAAACTGAGTCCTGTAAAATGTCTTGTTAGCATGACCTGAGCTAGCAAACAAGCAGAGTTAGTTCCAATAAGAGAACTCCATGTTCCCAGACCACAAAGTCACACCTCTTTCTCTTAGAAGTGGCTATTCCACAGAGGAATGTGAACAAACTCTGAGATGTTTGTCCCTCAAACTACCTTAGAAAGTTCACTTCCAGGCAGAGTAGATTTGCAGGCAATGCCAGGATTCAAGCATTCTAATTCCATGGACCAAAGTAAAGGAAGGAATAGTCAGCAACCAATACTGTGCCAGTTAGTCTTTTATGCCAGAATAATGAATGAAACAAAAAGGACCTCCAATTAATATTTTACATACTGTTATTGGTTTAA